GGGTTACCATAGGAATGCATTGCAATGCATTCCTATGGGAAACCGCTTTTCGCAAGATGATTTTTTCACAATACAGCGCTTCTCGCGGAATGAATTAAATTCATCTTGCGAGGCACCATTATATTCCAAAAATTTCATACCTGATAAAGATAGCTCTTACAGTATATCACAGAAGTGAGTACACCCACTCACATTTCATAAATATTTTAGTATATTTTTTCATGTCATAAGACTGAAGAAATAATACTTGGCTACAATGTAAAGCAGTGAGTATACAACTTGTATAATAGTCTAAATGTGCTGTCCCCTCAAAATAATGCAACACACAGCCATTAATGTCTAAACCACTGGCAACAAAAGTGAGTACACCCCTAAGTGGCAATGTCCAAATTGGGCATAAGGTGTCAATATTTTATGTGGCCACCATTATTTTCCAGCACTGCCTTAACCCTCTTGGGCATAGAGTTCACCAGAGCTTCACAGGTTGCCACTGGAGTCCTCTTCCACTCCTCCATGACAACATCACAGAGCTGGTGGATGTTAGAGACCTTGCGCACCTCCACCTTCCATTTCAGGATGCCCCACAGATGCTCAGTAGGTTTTAGGTCTGGCAACATGCTTGGCCAGTCCATCATCTTTACCCTCAGCTTCTTTAGCAAGGCAGTGGTCGTTTTGGAGGTGTATTTGGGGTCGTTCTCATGTTGAAATACTGCCCTGCAGCCCAGTCTCCGAAGGGAGGGTATTGTGCTCTGCTTTGGTATGTCACTGTACATGTTGTCATTCATGGTTCCCTCAACGAACTGTAGCTGCCCAGTGCTGGTAGCACTCATGCAGCCCCAGACCATGACACTTCCACCACCATGCTTGACTGTAGGCACAACACACTTGTCTTTGTAGTCCTCACCTGGTTGCCGCCACACACACTTGACAGCATCTGAACCAATTAAGTTTATCTTGGTCTCATCGGACCACAGGACATGGTTCCAGAAATCCATGTCCTTAGTCTGTTTATCTGCAGTAAACTGCAAGCTTTCTTGTGCATCATCTTTAGAAGAGGCTTCCTTCTGGGATGACAGCCCTGGAGTTTGCAGTGTATGGTCTGAGCACTGACAGGCTGACCCCCACCCCACCCCTTCAACCTCTGCAGCAATGCTGGCAGCACTCATATGTCTATTTTCCAAAGCCAGCCTCTGGCTATGACGCCGTGCATGGGCACTCAACTTTGGTTGACCATGGCAAGGCCTGTTCTGAGTGGAACCTGTCCTGTTAAACCACTGTATGGTCTTGGCCATCATCCTGCAGCTCAGTTTCAGCATTTTGGCAATGTTCTTATAGCCTGTGCCATCTTTATGGAAAGCAACAATTTGTTTTTTCAGATCCTCAGATAATTCATTACCATGAGGTGCCATGTGGAACTTCCAGTGACCAGTCTGAGAGAGTGAGAGTGATAACATCTGCACCCCTTCACACATGAGACTTGTGACACTAATGGGTCTCATGACACCAGGGAGGGAAAACAGCTACTTGGGCCTAGTTTGGACATTGTCACTTCGGTGTGTGCTCAGTTTTGTTGCCAGAGGTTTTGACATCAATGGCTGTGTGTTGCATTATTTTGAGGGGACAGCACATTTTCAGTGTTATACAAGCTGTATACTCACTGTTTTACATTGTAGCCAAGTGTCATTTCTTCAGTGTTGTCACATGAAAAAATATACTAAAATATTTATGAAATGTGAGGGGGTGTACTCACTTCTGTGATATACTGTATATGTTGAATGTTTGGGGGCTTTTAATGAGATCTTCAATTCTGAATTGCATGATATAACAATTGTGTTTATTTACATAGCAGTGTTGGCAATTTCAGTCGTTTTCATGTTGGGATTTCAGTGCTTTACTGTAAACGTATCATATGGCATTCCTGCCAACCTAGCAGTTCGAAAGCATGTAAAAATGCGAGTAGATAAATAGGTCCCACCTCAGTGGGAAGGTAACAGCATTCTGTGTCTAGTCATGCTGGCCACGTGACCACGGAAACTGTCTTCGGACAAACGCTGGCTCTATGGCTTGGAAACAGGGATGAGCACTGCCCCCTAGAGTCGGACACAACTGGATTAAATGTCAAGGGGAACCTTTACCTATCATATGGCATTGCCATCAATATGATAATTCACATGGGATAACCAACAATTAGGTTATGCAAACTACTGAAGACATTTATGTTCTTTGAAAGGCTTTTCCCCCCACTTTATTTCAGGAATGATGCAAAGGGTGCACAAGCTGTAGTTGCTGAGGTGTTTCCCCAACATGTAGATTCATGTCCTGATGCTGATTTGGATAGTGCTGTAACTCTACTCAGTGAGGAACTGATAGATGAGTATCCTATGTCTGATCCACGGTGGGCCGAATCAGTACCTGAAGGTATGAAATCCTGTATGTAAAGTGAACATTCTAATTTAAAATAGTTATGGTTTTACCTCGGCATTGTGGATGGAAACAGTTACATAGAAAGGATATTTTCCTACTATGCAAAATATATTTGCTTTTTCCATCATTCATTAGAACTACGCATAGTTCTGCAGTTTTAATACACTGAATTCTGAAATTCATGGCCTTCACTTGCCTTTTGTCAATTTTTCAAAGAATAGAATAAAAAAGTTGATAGAATATTTAATTAAGTTGTTTTTCTTCAAATTGTTTGGAAGTAAGGTTATTTTTTTTTAAAGTGTGCATTTTAATTAACATTTACATTTTCTTTCTTGTATTTTCATATAGAGGTACCTAGTTTTCCCAGTTCCTCCATCATTCTTCTTCGCCAGCTGGACAATAAATCACAAGCACATTCCCTTTTCATTGAGTTTCTTCACCAGGTAAGCTGCTTATGGTCTCAGGTTGAATCACAAGTATGTAATGTGAAACAAAATATTTTTATTGACAAATATCTCTGTCTAAGGTGGGTCTATTTGGACGCCTGCGTACTGTTCAAGTAAGAGGCTTACCAATGGCAACTCGATTGTTACTCTGTGAACATGCAGAAAAACTTGCGGCAGCCATTGCTCTTAAGAACCATCACTACAGATTGCCAGATGTGGTGAATACTGCAATACAGATTGCTTTGGAGAAAAAAGAGAGTGATGTTCCATCAAGCTTAACTCCTGTGGATGTTTTCTTCAGAAAGGTGAAATGAACTCTTCACAGGATAAAATTTCTAATGGTTTTTGTATGACTAAGACTTAGTACATGCACATCCTTGTACTATCTTCTCATGCTGTAGATTTTTATGCCAAGATCCATCCAAGGTATCCTAAGACAGGAAGAAAAATTCCATGAAAAGCAATAAAAATTTTCCTGTAGTGAAATATCTATCTAAAATCTTCCATGTTCATTGCCAAGTTTTAATAATGAAAATTAAAGACAATTTTTTGAAGATTTAATTTGAGTGAAATGTTTATAAGTGCATAAAACCCATGCAAATCATTGCCTTGTACCTAGTGAAAATTTTTATTTTTTTCATTCTTCAGGTGTCAGAAATAGATGCTATTTTTGAATGCTTACTGGAAAAGGAAAAACAAATTCTGAACGATGCGTCAGCTCAGTCTGATGAGTGGGCTGAAATAGTCATCAGTGTAAACAATATCATAAAGGTATTGGATTTTAATACTCTGTTACAGTAGTAAAAAGCCAGTGCTTTCAGTGACATGCAAATAAGCTTCTGTCACTGTCAGCTGTCAGCTCTGCTTCCTTTACAATAATTGAGATTTAGCCAAAAGGCTGAAATATAATCCTCCCTCCTAAAAGGGTGCTTATGTTCAGTATATTGGCCAGCCATTTGCTTTTCAAGCATGGCATTCTGCCCACCGCCTCCCATGTTCTACTCATCTTTTCCAGTTCATTATGTGAATTTTGCAGTGGGTGGGTTCTTCTTGCCTTAAGGGATTGGCTGATTGATTTTGTATGTATGCTAACCTGGAAGCTCCCCCAAGATGCTGATACTTCCTTCTTGTTTCATGATAGCCCAGTTTTTCCTTTAGTCTTCTTAGCACTTATCACCTGAGTTTACCATCAGAAGTTGTGATAAATAAGAGGAAATGCTGATAAGTAGATTCTTGCACAGTTTTACTTCTGACATACTGTGTTTTCTTTTTCACTGTTTCTTAGGATATGCTGCAAGCTGCTACCCAGGAACGTCAGTCTAAGGCCTCTTTATATAAAATAAGAGAGCGTCTTGAAGTGGAACCAGAGTATGTTCCATGGACAGGTGAGAATAGTGAAAATTATACAAGGTTACTTTCTTCTACTTTGCTAATATTAAATGCTACTTACAGAAGAATGTCTTACTAGCCTTTTAGTCTGTTGCCACTTCTTTTAAGTTTCAAGCCAAAGAGTTCTGTGTTCCATGGGTAGTCTCTGGCTTTCTTACATACAGAGCTAAGTTTTTAGTGTTATTAGCTTTTGTTTCTTACATCCTCATCCTGGATGTTTAGTCTAGTTTATCTTATGGTTTATGGTGGGAGCGGGCAGACTTTAGACTTTTAGAACCTGATTGTTTCCTAGAATGCTGAGATCCACCCTCAAAAGATGTAGAACCAAAGAATTCTGAGTTCACAAATTTGGGTAGCCCTCAGAAGACAGATCATAATTCTTCCACACAAACAAATTTATTCATGGTTGCCCAAAACTTTCATTTATCCCAGCAGTATAATGGGATTGGGAAACATTTTGTTGCTGCTGTAGTAACACAGATGTGAATCAGAAATTGTTGCTAGGTATATTGGAATTGACCCAGAGATTCACCAATCTATCTTGGGCCCACCTCTTTGTTATTTTTGTCAGTTTGGCAATCCCTGTATATGTGACACCAAGATGAAGCAGATAGTTTGAAGCTTTGCATCCTAAAATAAGCAATAATTTGATAGGACAAATGCTGGCATGTTAACATTTCAAGTGGCTTTCCCTGGAAACTCAAGACAAACCTGAATTAAAAGATAAATGGTTCTTTTATGGCATTTTAGAAATGAATGCAGTTTCTCAGTCACAAAGTGAAGTCATACATATTCTTGGAGAGAACAAATGGGGAAGGAGAAATGAGAGCTGACAAAACCCAAGAAAAGATGTTGTACTTTTCTATCAAGTACAACATCTGGTTTTGTGAACTAGTCCTAAGATTATTGTAATAAAGATATCTACCCATAGTGGTTTGCAGTCAGCATTGCCATGGAAATAAAAAACAGCTGCACTATATACAGGAAATGTAGTTTTACAGTAAACAGGGAAAATTTGCATGTTCTGAGTTTGTGGCCCAAATTCTGTTAACTGACTTATGCTAGTTTAAGTTGACATCATTTGACATTAATACAGTATAATTCATTGTTAATTAGAGGCCCTCTGCAATTCCTCATAGTGTGTTAGTTGGGTGGCTGTATGTATGACCTGAAATCCAAGAGGACTCTTTAATTAACAGCTGTCAGTCATTAAAGAATCTATGCTTGGATTTAATGATAATGTGCTGCAGTTGACTGCTGTTCCACTAAAAGACGTGCTAAGGATGCTGATATGCTTTGGAAATATATCTTAAAATTTGCTCTCACTTTTAACTTCCCCTGTATATTTGATCATATGTCATTTTTCATATTTTACTTGTTTCACCGATCAAATGTCTTTAATTTTTTTCCCCTTAAGCATCTGTTGGCGTGCGAACAGCAATAGTACAACAACATGAAATCATTTTGAAGAAGGCCTATCCTCAACTTGGCAGTAAGCTTCGTATCACAGTGACAGAACAGCTGGTGGCACTGTTAGATTGTTTTTTAGATGGTTATGTTTCTCAGCTTAAATCTGTGGACCGGCCTGAATATCAGGAGCGTTACAACACTCTAGAAATGGAATACCAACAGAAAAGATCCGAACTATTGTTGCCTCTACGTAAGTGCTGCTGTTATTGTACAAGGTTCAATTCCCTGTTAATAGCTTGTGGTCTAACAAAACATGTCACAGGTATTATAGAAAATATGAAGGCACAAGAACAGGAAACACTTGTTTCCTTTTGTCCTTCTCTATGGACATAGATTTATGTTTAGCTTTCACAGAACTTCTTAAGAGGTCATTCCAGTATGGATCTGGTTTTTATTTTTTTTTCCCTGTGGATTCTGTTTTTTAACTCTATGTTTCTGCCTTAGATATGTTGAAACTAGTAAATACTAGAGCTTACGTGACATAACTTCCAAATCATATACAGTGGTGCCTCGCTTAGCGAGCGCTCCGTTTAGCGATGAAATCGCTTTGCAACTAACCTTTTGCAATCGCTTTTGCAATCGCTTTGCAATGTTCTCTATGGGGTATTTTTGCTTTGCGATGACCGTTCATCGCAAAAGTGACCATTGTCGCACAGCTGATTGGCGGTTTCAAAATGGCCGCTGGGAAAAATATGGTCGCCCGCTGTTTTCTGGCACGGATTCCTTGCTTAACAGGCAGCGAAAATGGCCGCGCTATGGAGGATCTTCGCTCAACGATGAGTTTGAAGCCCCTAGGAACGCATTAATTGCGTTTTAATGCGTTTCTGTGGGCTTTTTTATTTCGCATTGCGACGTTTTCGTTCAACATCGATTTCGCTGGAATGAATTAACGTCGCAATGCGAGGCATCACTGTATCAGTAATGCTTATGGACTACTCCATGTTTTCAAAAGATGAGATTTCATGGAAATGTATCATTCATTTCTTGTGCTTGTGCAGAATTCAGGTCTTTCTTTAGATAAGCCTTTTTATTGATTAAGAACCCTATATTGTCCCCTGTGGATTCTGTTTTTTAACTCTATGTTTCTGCCTTAGATATGTTGAAACTAGTAAATACTAGAGCTTATGTGACATAACTTCCAAATCATATACAGTGGTGCCTCGCTTCCCTGTGGATTCTGTTTTTTAACTCTATGTTTCTGCCTTAGATATGTTGAAACTAGTAAATACTAGAGCTTATGTGACATAACTTCCAAATCATATACAGTGGTGCCTCGCTTAGCGTGCGCTCCGTTTAGCGATGAAATCGCTTTGCAACTAACTTTTTGCAATCGCTTTTGCAATCGCTTTACGATGTTCCCTATGGGGTATTTTTGCTTTGCGATGACCGTTCATCGCAAAAGTGACCATTGTCGCACAGCTGATTGGCGGTTTCAAAATGGCCGCTGGGAAAACTGGGGCATTTACCATACAAATGATCAAAATCCCTCCCTCCTACAGCTGAGGGGCTACCAAGATATGGTTGCATCCCTATATTAAAACTGGCAAGGAGAAACAGAATGCAATAGCCTATGAATTAGTCAGTAATGCTTATGGACTACTCCATGTTTTCAAAAGATGAGATTTCATGGAAATGTATCATTCATTTCTTGTGCTTGTGCAGAATTCAGGTCTTTCTTTAGATAAGCCTTTTTATTGATTAAGAACCCTATATTGTCTAATGCTTGAACATTAGTTCCTGCACCCCTGCAGTAGTGCTATGATACTCCTAATGGTAAATGCACTGTAGCTTATGTACAAGTGGGGTCTTCACTTGAGAACTTAATCCGTATTGGAAGGCGGTTCTCAAGTCAAAAAGTTCTCAGGTCAAATCTGCGTTTCCCATAGGAATGCATTGAAAACCATTTGATCCATACCTGCTCTTTTCCGTCCATAGAAACTAATGGGAAGCTGCTATTCTGCCTTCGCCCACTAGAGGGGGATATTTTGTTTCTTTTTTTCTTAGGTCAAGAAAGGTTCAGGGAAGGCAGGGAAAATACAGTCCAGGCAGTTCAGTACCAGGCAGTCTGAAGACTGTCTCCCAATCCACTCTCTAAACGCTAGGAGGAGTGAGGAAGCAGACAGGCACCCTTTTCACTGGCCAACAGTTAACTAAAAGTTCAAATTTTGCACTTTCCCTGCCTCCCACGTGGTTTTTTTTTCAGTTCTTAACTCAAATCTAAGTATGTAAGTCAAGTCAATATTTTCCTATGAGAGTGGTTCTTAAGTCAAAATGTTCTTAACTCGAGCCGTTTTTAAGTCAAGACCCCACTGTAAATTGACTTACTGTAGAGGCAGCTGTCTTTAAAGGCTCTGTGTTTCTTTATCTTTCCCTCTCCAGCTGCCAATTTGTCAAATTGCTTGTAGTGGCTAGAAGATAGTGCATGTATTGTGCTAAGAGGCAAAAACTCTTCCATTTGTGTTTAATTGTTTCAGAAGTGCTGGGATGTTACATTGTACTGTTCCTTTGATGGCTAATAATTGCCTGCTATTCTGGACTGCCAGAATGAAATTTCCAAGCTTTCTTGAAACTGTCCAAATGTTTACTGCACCATGAGTAGCTGATTAAGAGGCTATTGCTTGAGACAGACAAAATGTCTGTGCATCTGTAGAGATATGGTGTTGAAGAAGTACTAAGCTTTTGTCTCCCTGAAGTGGTGTAATTATTTAGTATCTAATCAGAATGAGACGACAAGATGAGCGAGTTTGATCTTGGATGTTTTCATGTTTCTTGGCTAGTTTCACTTGGACAGTACCAGCTAGCTGCTGCTTTGGCAGAAAAATACCGTGACTTCGATATTTTGGTACAAATATGTGAACAGACTGATAACCAGGCCAAATTGCAACGTTACATGTCCCAGTTTGCTGATCAGGTAATTTATCCTACAGGTAATTTTGCTGTTAAATAAGAATGATTTATTGAAAATGTCTTTGTAACTGACTTTGTTTTCTTTTAAAAATATTTTTAAAATATATAATGGTACAGATTTTCCTCTGCTAAGTAACTCTTCTACTGTCATAGAGTACAGTGGTGCCCCGTATAGCGAGGTTCATAGAGTATTAAAAATTCAGTCTTCAAAAAAGTAGCGATGTTAAGCCAGTCTGAGTAAGAATATTAAACCAAAAAACAAACAGGCAGGCACAGAAACATTTTCCACAGTGAAGACTCTCTATTATGCTTTAATGTGAGCATTCCTGAAGTGAAGTCCACTTGAAGAAAGCTCACATTAAAATATAGCAGTTAGTCTTTAATGCTCCATAACCATTTTTGTTCCCCCCCCCCACTAAAGACATACTTAGTCATCTCCTATGCTTAATTTTAATTAGAAATTCTGTTTTCCCATGTAGGAAAACACTAATCAAGTTTCACCCATTTCCTGTCCCCTACATAAATGTTTTTTCAGTACTGGTATTGGAGGATGTGTCATAAATGAAGTTACACATTATGAGGCTCACAGAAATATTAGGTTCTACCATACAGTATTTTACAGTACAGTGGTGCCTCGCATACTGAGGTTAATCCGTTCCAGATTAACCTTCGCTATGCGAAAACATCGATGTACGGATCAAAAAAAGCCATTAATCGTTTAATGCGTTCCACATTGGCAGAAAACTCACCGTACAGCGATGTTTTCCGGGTCCGGCAGCCATTTTCACGCCCTCAGTAAGCGAGGGGAGGGCGCAAAAACGCTGCCCGCGGCCATTTCGGGTGTTCCGGCGGCCATTTTGGACCCGCTGAACAGCTGATCCGCGGGGCGCAAAGCGAAGGGCGGGAAGCGAAACGCTTACCGATCTTCGCTATGCGAATTTCGCCCATTGGGGCCGACGCGATGCCTTCACATTAGCGATCCCGGAAAAGGGATTGCTATGTGAATTCATCGCTGTACGGGGTGCTCGTTAAGCGAGGCACCACTGTACTTTATTGCTTTGTAGCTGATCAATCTGTACACAAGAGCAGAGATTAGACCAGTTTTAAGATTCTACTGTAGAACTATAGGTATTAAACTGGATTTTAACATAATTTTAAAAGCACAGAACACACAAAAAGAATAATAGCAGATAGGATACTTTGAAGCATGCCATTTCCATTCCCCTTGTGAAGATACAGTCCCGACACACTTGGACATAGATGTTTGTGTGTGTACAAATCCATAAGCACACACATATCTGTAAGCACATACATACAGAAGGTGGTGCAGAGAACAGTATGCCAATATAAACATTCGTTTCAGGACAGCTGTGAGCACTTATGGTTCTCTCCAGAGTATGTGCTGTTTTTTTTTTCTTGCTTTGTTTCTATCTCCAATTACTCTTGTTTGCCTTGCTGGCTTCCATGGCTTGCAGTTAAAAAAATACCCAAAATTTACTTTATAAACTAGAAAATATCTATTGCTATATCCCACTATTTAGCTAGAAACTTTGTTTTGGGTTAAATGGATTCATCTGTTTCTTATTGGTCATATGGAAGCTAATGGGCCATTACTGAATTGTAAATCTGTAGAAAATAAGTGGCTTCCTTTGTATATCTATTTCCTGTACTCATTACAGGAAGTGTTATATTCAGAGAAGTGCCATATTCAGACAAGACATGCAAACAGGCTGCATTCAGAGAGAAAAAGACGCTTATGCATTTGTAACTTTTAGAATTTTTCAGAGTTCCTTTTTCGTTGGTATTTGGAGAAAGGAAAACGTGGAAAACTCTTAACTCAACCCATTGCCCAGCATGGCCAATTGGCCAATTTCTTGCAAGCTCATGAGCATCTCAGTTGGTTACATGACATCAACAGTAATGATTTTGAAAAGGTATGCTCCGATACGCGTACCCAGAGTGATATAGTAATGGGCTAAGACTCAGGAGACCTGGATTCGATTCCCTGACTCTGCCATGGAAACTCGCTGGGGTGGGGGGGAATGGTACAACCACTCTTTAAATACCTCACATGCCTTGAAAACCCTGTTAGGGTTGCTGTAAGTCATTTCTGACAACAGCACATAGCAGCAACCACTGTACTGCAGCCAAAACTGTGCTCACGACCTCGGGTTCAATCCCAGGTAGCCGGCTCAAGGTTGACTCAGCCTTCTATCCTTCCGAGGTCGGTAAAATGAGTACCCAGCTCGCTGTGGGGGCAATGTGTAGCCTGCATAATTAACTTGTAATCCACCCAGAGAGTGCTTGAAGCACTATGTGGCGGTATATAAGCAGCAAGCTTTGCTTTTGCTTTGCTTTAATATATGAGAAAATACTTAACTATTCTTGTTACAAGTCTTCTCCTGTCCTCCTCTGTTGTATCCAAGTATGACTTTCATGTTCTAATGAACTCTTCTGGACTTAACCATGTTCCTTCCATGAGTAAAGGGAAATGATATCCAGTAGTGTTATTTTCTTAGTAAATTGTGTTACATTTGCTGTTTCATGAGGCCTTCCACAATATCATTGAGTGTGAGGTGGATTGACTCAATTAAAAAAGTCAGATCCTTCAGCTCTCAAAACCTGTGTTGCTAACCGTATGAGTTTTTGGAGGTCACTAATTTTTAGAAATGCCGTAAGTTAGCAGCAACATGGTGTCACATAACAATAACAGACATCCACAGGAATTAACAGTTTTTCTTTAACTGTAACATGAGGTTGTTCAGTTAACATGAGTAGATAGCAGAGTAGATTCTGTAAGCTTTCTAGTTAGGCTTCCCCCCCCCTTTCAGATCAATGTGCTTGTTTTGTTTATGAACTACAATATATATATAAAGTTTCAAAAAGTATCCAGCTTGAAGGCTTACATAGCATTACAGAAAAGAATCAGGTATTTTAAGTGAGCATTTAAAAAAAAAAAAGAAGTGCTGTGTGTCTTTCATGCCTGATGCTCTCGGTTTTAGTGAATTCCTCTTTCTGATCATTACAGTTATTCAAACTAAGCTATGAGTTGTGACTTTTCTTTAGTTCTTGTGAAAATCCCGGTGGTAAGGAAAATAATGATAGATCTGTTTTTCATCTTCAGTAGCTATTTTACCCTGTGGCGTACTTCTACTGTGTAATGCAGGGGTCCCCAACCCCCGGTCCGTGGGTTTCCCAGGACTGGGCTGCAGAGACGGATCTCCGCCACCCCCACCACCCCCCGCACGCATGCACGGTGGGCGTGTCCCACCACCCCCCGCACACATGCACGGTGGGTGTGTTGCACTCATGCGCACCTGCGCAAGCACAATGCTCCCCACAAGCATGATATGGCCACCAGCAAGCGTGGGGATGCACCCACCTGTGCATGGAGCCCATCCCCTCAACTGGTCTGTGGTTCCAAAAAGGTTGGGGATGGCTGGTGTAATGGATCAGCCTAACAGCCTTCAAGCTTTCTTTGTATGATGTTGCTGAAAAAAATTACAAAATGGCTTAGTGTAGGATAGGAGGAAAACTTTTATTATGCCATCTGAGAATTTTAAAATAGTATTTACAAACATAATACATGTATACAAAAGGACTGTTGTATCCTATATGTATATTCACATGGGATTCGTTCCACATCTTCCATGGGTGGTTGAAACCACAGATACAAGAGAAACCTATATACATCATACAAGGGAGACAGGACAAAGCCACAATGGGGGCACCCTTGTGCACTGTATATAGGGCTGCAGCAAATTGCAGATAAGTGAAACTGCAGATGCCAATCCTGAGAATGGGATGATATTCTACTGTAATTGTCATGAAAATTAGTATTTAAGAAGAGTTTATTGAGCTACACTTCTGATCTTGATATTTAATATTTCATAACTTTTTGTACCTATAAATATTAAAATGCTTTTTCTTGTGTTAGGCTCATCGAACACTGCAGAATTTAGCAAATACAGAAACACGGTACTTTGCAAAGAAGAAAACTCTTCTTGGCTTGAGTAAATTATCAGTGTTGGCTTCAGATATATCAGATGTGATGATGAACGATAAAATTGAAGGTACTGTTTCTTCCCCTTAAGGTTCTGCATATATGGAAATAGTCCTTTGATTTTTAGTTCTCTTTTACTCTCAGTTGTGTGCTGGTTCATTGCCGTGGGAACTATAGACACCAGTCCCAGGGCTTGCTTTGCAAAGCAAGCTGTTCATTCCCCCATGAGCTTGTCTTCCTGTGCTTCCCATGATTTTGAAATCAAATGTGTCTGTATCCCCAGCACAGAGTCTGACTTAAAGTGGTTTTATAATTTCAGCTTATTGGAAGATGAGGCTGAGCTGCTAAAATAGGCCATCCTACACTGTAATTATGCCTTGTGTTTCTGCCATCCATCTTTTTCAGAAAGGTCAGCATGATTATAGAATTCTGTGCTGAATTTTGGTGCAAAAGTGTGAGAAGGAAGCAGAGTTCCTGAATAATGGATGCTGACAGCATTGCTATATGTTTTCACAGATAGGTACCATGACACATTGCTAGCAAAAAGCATATAGCAATAGTTATGGTTTATGAGTCCTCAATACGTGGCTAGAATTTCCACCCTTGGTATCTGCAGCAGTTGAAATGAACGTAACACAATCTGCAGGACATAAGCGCTACCCCTTAAATTCTGTATTAGGGGTTAGTAGCCAGATACTTGTGGGGGAAATCAGCAAAGGCCTCATATGGTGCAATGAGATGTTCATAGTAAGTTAAACAATTTTGAGAACAACTTATTTTTACTGTCTTTGAAATAATTAATTACGGTAATATGTGTTTCTGTTTTTCTTTAATGTATACAAGAAATTACTGAACAAGAATGCTTTCTCCTTCACCAAGAAACTCTACCTGAACAATTACTGGCTGAGAAAAAGTTAAATCTCAATGAGATGCCTGTATTGAGTGCTTCTCAGCTGATTGAGGTAAGTATCGCTAATTGTCTCAATAATATTATAAATTATTAACCTAAATGTCTGGGATTTTTATTACAAATATGCTAGCTGCATTTATATCCCATCTTGAGCACAAGGCAGTGTACATGGTTCTCATCTTTTCCAGTCTGTCCTCATAACTACTATTCGAGTGTGTGACTGGTCATGGTGAATCACACCACTTAGTAGGAACTAAAACTTGGATCTCCCAACTTCCTAGTTACTACTTTACGGAGACTACCCTGTCCAAATTGAATCATATTGAACGTCAGTACAGTATGTAAACAGTATAACTTAATTCTTCAAAGAATTGCATGCTCTTTTAAAGTGTGGAGGACTGGAGTCTCCACCATTTAAAAAGAACTGATACTGAATCTGATAAAGGCTAGTTATGGCTCTCTAACATGGCTTTGTGTTCCTGAATAGCAGTGTTATGTTATGTTGCTGGACAAAAATACTTCTGAGACTGTATGTCCATTTGGATGCTACCCATATTGGAGCTTTCCCAGTAACGTTTCATGTTCATTCCCCTTTTGCTTTCTGGTTATGCCCTATTCTTGTCTTGTATCAGTGAATTTAGTATCTTACCATGATGGCTCTGCTTTGCTTTAGAACAAACAGCACTGGCATACATTCTTCTCTGATGAGCTACATAGTAATAAGTAGTCATTATTGCCCCTTCCCAGCAGTGCATTGTTGTACCCATTGTCACACAGAACAGAAAATGAGTCATCTTCCGGAGGAGGTGAGCCTCCTCCAATGCTCACCTACTAAAGCTACTCACAAGAGACCCTTGATCAGCCTCCTCCAATGCTCACCTACTAAAGCTTCTATGTTCACATACCTGTTTTTCTTGAATTGGAGAGAAAGAAGTTATACAGTAGAAGTTATACAGTAGAAGTGCATGTTTAGTCTGTTTTCAAGAAGTTATACAGTAGAAGTGCATGTTTAGTCAACCTAAAGGTAAAGGTTCCCCTTGATATTTTTTTAGTCCAGTTGTGTCCAACTCTAGGGGGCGGTGCTCATCCCATTTTCAAGCCGTAGAGCCAGCGCTTGTCCAAAGACAGTTTCCGTTGTCACGTGGCCAGCGTGATTAGGGAACGCCGTTTTACCTTCCCACTGAGATGGTACCTATTTATCTACTCGCATTTACATGCTTTCGAACTGCTAGGTTGGCGTGGAGCTGGGACAAAGTGATGGGAGCTCAGTCCGTTGCATGGGTTCGATCTTACGACTGCTGGTCTTCTGACCCTGCAGCACAGGCTTCAGCGGTTTAGCCCACAGCGCCACCACGTCCCTTTTAGTCAACCTATCACTACATAGATAAGCGTTGCCATTTAAAGAATGACTGAGACCATTGAGAAATTTTTACCTCTCTAAAATTGGCAAATTCCTGAGTAAAGCTACCATTTTGATCAGTTGAAAGCAGTAATCCAGGAATGCAATAATGTCATTGAATTAGCCCACATGCTCTACAACACTGTAGAAATAAAACCCAGTGAATGGCTCACTGTGTAGACAGTATGTGAGATAAGTTACAACAGGGCTTCTCTGATTATGCTTTGTGAAATCAGTACACAGCAATAGCAGTGTATCAAGAATGAGTAGTATCCAAAGGTGGCTTTGTTCTAGCAGAAAATATCTTCTCCAAGTTAGAACATCCAGTTTTGCCACTCCTTCCTAACTTCTACAGGCCTCCTGGCTACATGCTATACTGTGCTGGAGAATCCCTGAAGGGAGCGTGACAAAAATTGTATGTCTGTTGTGCAGTTCTAGACTAACAATTCAGACCTGATCCTCAGCGTAATCTTGACTCATGGGCAGTTGTGAGGACAAAACAGAGCTAGAGAACTCTGTATTGCCTTGAGCTCCTTAGAACAAATATGGTTATAACTATTCTAGGGCTCAACCACAGGAATGTTCCTATTTTCAGCTGAGTTGCTGATGTTCATCTCTGTTTAACTATCTTCTGGCCCCATGTCCAGATGCCTTTATTCAACAGGTCATGGCCATGTACACAGTTAGCTCTCTTTCCTTCAATTGTGATGATTGCTTTATAAAGGTGTAACTAATCAGATTGGCTGGGCAAGTTCTTTGTATTCATTTGATAATAGGAGGAATATGGGATACCACTGAAATTAATTTTCAAAAAGTTTCAAGCCAATATACTTACTTGTAATAAAATGTAAGAAGCATCAAGGTTTAACTAAATGTGGTAAAACATTTTTTTAATTGCCAGACATTTGGGGGTAAAAATATTGTACTTCTAGAGACAGTTTTCTTCCTGTTTCTGTGTTCCATGGAACTCATCCAGAGGGCAGAAAGGAGCCTGAATGTATGTGTGTTTAGGTTTGGCAAAGGCATTTCAGAGGAAGTTGAACAACAAAAGGAAGGAATTCCTTTTAATAGCTGTAATGAAGCCAAGACAACTGTGATGCCCAGTGTTCCATCTTGGGTCATTGTCAGCTCCCATTTTGAGTTCCTAACACCAGCATAGGTGTTTTTGTTTCACCTCATAGTCATTCAACTAGATGTACATAATTAGGGGGAGAAATACTACTGAGAAAATAAAATACAATAATATTGTAGATTACAAGCTACAGTGTCTGAGCCTAATTCAGATGATTATCTTTTCATACTTCAGCCATGCATTATTGTTTACATACCACTACATTCTTTCCCACACCAGTGGGAAATGCTTACTATTGTTAAATATATCAACCCTTATCCCAGAGATTTTTAGAGATCATAGCTAGAGGCAGGGGGAGATGGGAAATATTCCTGCCAAAAATCTCATTCTGTTTTAGGTTTTTACCCTCATACTGTATATTAAAGTATATTAAAGTGAATAATGCTGAAGTGTTTGTTTGTTTGATTGTTTGTTTATTTATTTATTTATGTAAAATACTTTTACTTACCTTTCTGTTTGAAAAAGGGCCCAATGTGGCTTACATCATTAAAAGAATATGTAAAGCTAATAACAATAAGTATGCAAATTCTAAAAAAGGAATACCACACTAACAAATGGTTAACAAAAGCAATACCAGAAACACATTCAAAACAGTAAGACACAACAATCTATTTAAAAACCCCATTCAGGCAGCCAGTTACTAAAATATAAAACTCTCTTGAGGATTCTGCATGTCTTCATATGTTTTCAGGATACTGTATAGCAGATATTCCCTTGCATATCAGTATGGACTTGTATAATGGAGTACTTATTAGTGGCTCTAGGTTCCTATCACAATAGACAACCTTAAATGGTATGTAAATTGAAGTCTATCATATAGCAACTTTTGATGCAGTGCTGTCCATTTTAGTATTAGTGGAATTAATTTTTAAAATGTCCACTCTTTTGTGTTTCAATCTTTTACATAATAGTTATACATAAGCGATGAGAACAGAAGGGCTAATGAATTTGACTTCAAGAAGGCACTTGATCTGCTGGAATATATTGATGAGGTATGAGAATGAATGAGTTTCAGTGATTTTTTTATCAAGAGAAAATGGATGTTGATCTAGTTGAGGTTTTTATCATTTGTTAAAAAAACCAGCCTTCATATCCTTTCTGCTGTCACCTAAAATCCAACTGAATCCTAACGTTTGATTACTGGCATCCTCCTCTTTATTAATGATATGTCTTTGAAATTAGGTTAAAAATCATGCAGGGAACCATAAACAAGAATGTACATTTTCCCAGCATGTGTGCTTTGAATTTTCAGAGAATTTATACATGTTTCTCTCTGAAAGGTCATATTTAGAATTGTTCTTGAAGCATTAACTGTAGAGAACTTCGAGAATGTTGATGTGATGCTAGAAGTTGAAAATAACAAAGCATCTTGTGCAAGTATAATCTCTAAAGTGCAGCAAGCTCTTTCCTGTTCTAACAGACTAGCATGATTATCCCTCTGGAATATGGTTTAACATAGTATGTGCAGACCTCACTGGATACCCATAGCTAAAGAATTAGTTAACGTCAGTATCCTGTTGGGGACTTTGGTGCATGCAGCTATTGCCATGGTGTCTGTTGTGCAGTTGTTTTATGGAACTGCCTGTGCAGCCAGTTGCACAACAGACATCTGCCTTATCAGTTAGTGCAACTATTTGTGCAGTGGAAATATCCCTAGCACGGTACTAACCATTATGAAAAATCCATGTTTCCCATTTCCCACTTCTTTGGCCCTTGTGGTCTTGACAGAGCAGAGTGTTATAGTGATAGGAGCCTCAAGTACTTGTATGTTTGTCAGGATCTACTGTATGTTGAAGTTGTAACAATTCTGTGCCATCTTTGTCTCTCTTGCTTACCATCCTATCTCTTTAAAACTCCCTTTCCTTTCTTCCTGTTCTCAGTCCTTGTGTGTCTTTTATCTGAGTCTTAGTTTGTTCTGGCCAACTCCTTTCTCCACCATACATTCTTTTAAGCCAGCTGTCTATTTTGTCTTGATCCTTTTGATCACCAGCCCTTTTCACCACCCTCCCCCATAGGTGGGGTGGGTACAAGGATTTTGGTTCGGAGGCCCTTCACTCTTGTAGCTCCTTCTGCTTCAGTTGTACTCTCCTGTTCTTTTTCTTCAGCTTTGTCCTGCATTTTTCCTTCCAATTCTCATTTGTCTCCAGCCTCCTTGTCTCTGAATTTTTCAGGTATCTTTCCGTGCACAAAACTTTAATTCTGTCCAAAGATATACTTTTCCTTTCTCTTGTCAAAAACTATTTAGCTCTTAGGGCAGCTGAATGTTCTGTTTCACTACAAGAAGTCAGCCTGTAACTCTCTAAGGTATCAGTCCAATATGCAGAATCCAATACTTGTCTCCCTTTTTTCAGTACGGAAACACAACTAGCCTTTTGCAGAAATTTGCATCACTAGTTGATCCAAAGTTCATGATTTCCCCTCCCAATATTATTCACACTTATTTAGAGTCTCTCCCATTGATTCATGCCATATGTGAAATTCTGTCATATTTTCTCTGTCTTTTAACTCCTATCTTCTCTCAAAATCAAGTCATGTCTCTCTATTTTTAAAAATTATTAATTGTGGTACAACTCCTTTAAAGGTATCGTAGTGTCTTCTTTTCTACCCTGTTTTCAGCATAAGTGGACTGTCAAATTTTGATTTAATTGTAGTGGATGGATATATTTTTCATCTTTGAAATCTCAAATATAATTTAACCTTTTTTCTTTTCCTTTAAATGAAGGATGAGCAAGTGGACATAAACTATCTTAAACTTAAAATACTTTGCAAAGCTCTCCTGAGAGATGGGTAAGCAGACACAATTTTAGTTATTCATCTGATGTATTTGTTCAGCTGAATAGTCTCCCAAAACAGTTTTCATAGATCAGTAACACATGAGACAGGCTTATTATACCCTGCAAGATATGACACAAAGATTAAAGAAAAAGAGGAGAGGAGTGGAAAGCAAGAAATTTAACACATTACTCCTTAAAGTTCCAAAGTCATTGTAACAATTAGTACAAACAGTAACCATTTGTGAAGAAAAAGAACTGTATTGAGAAGATCTTTCAGGAAAGTAGTAAAATACTTAAATATTTCTTCCCAGCTCTCCCTCTACTGCAGCTATTGTATGATAACTTTTAAATTGCCCTTAATAAGTTATAAATGTTTATATTTTCTTCCAGTGTTTAATATGAAGCAAAATATATTTGTTTTACTTTTAAACATTTGTATGCTGCCTTCTATCATACTAGGTTTAAGTACAACCATATGATATATAACAAACTCAAAAATACAAAAACTACATATTGACGCTTTCTTGATTCCCCTGGATAACTGTAAAGTGACAATTGGGTCATTTCATTTTATTTGAAAAGGATTGTTGGTTAATAATATAAGTTTTCTTCAACACGTAGGGGCCATTTATGAAATCGCTGTGACAGTGAGAGCATTAAATGTTGCCATTTTAACATTATGCTAGGTGTTCCAGAGGCGTAATCTGCCTTCACATGAAATGGATAGACTGAGCCTAAGGTCTTTCAAAAGCCCAGTCTTGCCTCCCTTAGAATCCTGGTCAGACACCACAAAATAGACACCTGAACATGTGTATTGTAATGAATCAAAGCTAAACAGGGCCATGTTATACAAGGTATTACTGAATTGATCACCTTTTCAAACAATATGCAGCCAAAAGTATTCAAAAACCAGGGAAGAGATAGCAGAAGAATCTAGCATTTTTAGAAGAGGCAGCCATGTTAGTCTGTGCAAACATATCAGACAAAATCCAAAGAAACAAAACAAAATGACAAAAACACGTGGCACCTTAAAGACTATTATATTTTAATGAGAAACTTGTGGACATGTTTTTCACTTTTTTGTTTTGTTTCTTTGGATTTAACATTTTTAGCTGTCTTAATTGGTTGAATTCCTAAGCCCTAGGAAGACTGAACTACAGTGTGGTTTAAAGTCTTTAACCAAACTGTCCACAACATGTGCTCCGAACACTAAAATGTGTAAACAGAAATCTGTGAACAAGCGTACAGCAGTATCTGTAAATTTGTTCAAAAAACCAGTCTCCTGTTCACTGAAACTTTTCCTAAGTGAAGATGTGATCAGACACAACATCTGGATTGCACTATAAAGGGATGCATCATCGGGTGTGATTTCCTTTAAAGCTATCCTCCCATGCACACACAATCTGATACTAGTCGCTCCAGCCCAACTCCAAAAGAAGAGTAGCTCTGCTGCTGGACCGAGAAAAGGTCCAGATTGGTTATAGAACAGGGTTGGGCCAATTCACGACTTCCTGTACATCATTTTAGCTCAAACCAGACTACACCACAAGTGATCCAAAACATGAGCTACATCACCATCCAGTCAAGCTTTTTGTCTGTATAGGATTTCAAAGGTCCTCTGTTTTTCTTCCCATCCTGAAAACAGTTCAAGGTATTTTTGCCCACATGGTGCATTCCACGTACATTGGGTTTTAGTCCTCATTCCCTGCTGTCATGACTAATGGCCATTCTGTCTGGAGGTATGTAATGGACAAAGACATCTGAGAGAGTAGCACTGGTTCCGAATTAGTTTGAAGAGTTGCTGAACAGAGACCACTGTTTTCAGGTCCAATGAAACTGCAAGAACAAATCTTGTAAATATTTTCAAAAGTTGGTCCTGAAATGTAAAAGCTAGAAATGTGTATCTTTGCACAGCTACTATTGATTGCCCCATTCAAATGCAGGATTTGTTGCATCCTGAAATTGGACCCACTAGAACTCCATTTGAGCCCACTGATGATTCACTTTAGCAATGTTTGATTGTTGGCATCTATGAGAGCCTTTCCTTCAGGGTTATGAATGTAACTGCAAAATTGAGATCCCCAAACTTCTAAATAGGGAGTTGTGTTTTTGCTGATATGGAAGTGGTTGCTGGGGTTAAGTGTTGGCCTCAGTGAGCACTGGGCAGGGGGAGACCATTGCAGTGGTGGGGGGAGGAACTTGCAGTAGTCAAGAAGAAAATAGAACTGGTGCATGTGTAATGGAGGGGTGGATCTAGTGAGTTTCTAACCTGGGCAAAGCTTAGTGCATGTCCTAGTCTTGAGTATCATTCTGTCAGCATTTGATACTTGCCATTTTATTAATGAGACAACTGATAGAGATGTTACCAAATATAATGCCACTGAACTAAGTAGAAAGCATCTTCCAGTATAAAAAAACCTTAATATTTGATGGAACTCCTTAGTGCAGGCTAATTCTTAAAATGTTCCTTTAATTTTCAATGCTAATCCACCACCAATATCTCCATATATATTATGCATATATAGTCGTCATGGTGAAAGCAAACACCCCTTAAACATTGGAATTGTCTTTTTATTCCCACTGCTGCCTCTGCCCCATCTTTAGTTTACTCCATACCTTAGAAGTGGAATATAAAGGAGGAGTCTGTTCTACTGTTGAATGCAGCTCTGTTGACAAAATATTAGCGAGATATTATCAAAGCCCGTAATATGATCCATGTAATTTTTTTTACTTTAGTCTTTATAATGTCCTTTGTATTTTTAAAATCTGCCTTGAAATAACTGAACTTGAGCAAAGTTATGTTGCTAGAATAAGTCTAAAAATCCTGATTAAGAGCATAAGGCAGCTGTAAATAATTCACATTAGAAATATATGTACAGGAAAGAGTAGCACAGTGGGATCCCTGCTTTAATAGTGGTTTTTTAAATTCATCTTTAAAATACATCCTTTACTTTTACAGTTGGTCCAGTTCTGAAGGCAAAGATGATCCAATTGAAGCCTCTAAAGACAGTATATTTGTGAAAATACTACAAAAGCTGTTAAAAGAAGGTATATTTTGTTGAATTTGTGATCAGAAATGAATTCCCTGCGAGTCCCTTGCTTAAAAATACATTAAAACAAAACATATCTTATGACAGCTGTAAAGAAAAAGTATTAGTTGCCAATATTTAAATATGTTAAATATATAAGTGAGAAAAATTTAAAACTTAATTTGTTTATGGAAGTCACTTGGTGTGCTTTGATAGTAACTTACCTATAGATTTATCCAAGTCCTGAATAATTTATTCTGAAATGTAAGTGCAATCACTAAGCATTTGCAATAGCTAATGCAATTTTTATCTGTTGTAGGTGTTCAGCTCAGCGAGTATCTGCCTGATGTGAAGGACTTGCTGCAAGCAGATGAACTTGAACACTTAAAATCTAACACATCCTTTGAATTCATACTGAAAGCAAATTATGAGCTATATGTCTACAGCCAGGCTTAAAATTTTTTGAACAAATAATTAAAGTTTTCATAATTTTTGTAATGTTTTATATTAGTTTTGCAATAAAATATTCACTGTAAATAAGGTTGTAAGCATGCAAAATTTGTTCTATGCTAATCTCAAGTGAGTTTTAGTTCAGAACAGGTCTCTTCTTCCACAATCTAGCTTCCAATTTGTGCTCCTCATCTCAGTAAACAAATACAACTATGCAATTTTGCATCTTATCCTCAGTAGTGTTTTCTGCCCGGATTACAAATGCAATATATAGCCACACATTTTAATATATACATAATTAAGTTCTCACCACTTATTCATAACATGTTCAAGTACAGACTGGGTAATGATGTGAAGCCTAGAAAATTCTTCTTCTTGAGAGTGTCTCTCCTGGATGATTGTCTTCTTTGCTTGATGTCAGGTTGTTTCTGACAGAGATTTTGCTATACAATCCATAACTGTTTTAAATTCTAATGCTTAAAGAGCAGATGAACTCATACAATTCAGCTCAGTTGATTTAAACTGATGGGTGCCATAGGAAAATCTTCCTTACAGGCTACTAAACATGCACAGATTGACTGCAAAACAGCTTGCACTGCCTTACATTTTACTTTTTCTCTTGGCTTGATGCCTGCTCAAAGAACTTGATCCAACAGCTGAGAAGGTCATAAGTTAAATCAGTTGAAGAGAGTCCAGTTTCTAGCTCGAAAAGCATGGCTATCATTCCATGGCATCCCTTCTTTCTGTGCTTATGCAGCTCTAAGAAAGGAGAAGCTGAGAGAGTTCAAAAGAATAGACTTATCTGGCGATGTTCAAAGCAATGTAGAAAGGAAATGTATCTACTCTGCTGGAAAAGTCTCAAAGGACCATCACAGAGAAGGTTTAATATACTTGATTCTGATTAAATCATCTGAAATATATTGGAATTTATAGAATAGTGATGTGAAATATATTTTAAACCATATTTAAAAGTAAGGTTACATTACATTGACTGTTATTATCTTCATTTAACTCCTAAAGTGTTGGGCTCCTTTTATACATTTGTGTCTAGTAATGTGGGTCAAAGCTGCTGCTGCAATTTTCATATTAGGGTTGCTGCCTAAAGTTTAGGCAACTTTTCTTTGCTGTATTTAACAATGGAAGTGCTCCATAACTCCAAATCTGTTATAATTGCTGTATCAATAATTCTACATTACCTCAGATTTAATTGCCAGTTCCTTTCTGTCATTATTTTTGGATGAAATCTTGTAGAAAGTCACAATTAGAGTATGCCATTGAATTAATTGAACTTACAGAGGTGTTGACAATCAAATCCCCACTGATTCTAGGTACAATTAAGATTCTAGAGACCAGGGTTCAAATCCTCAACTGACCATGGAAACTTACTGGGGGATGGAACTAGTGAAACCATTGCTTAAATATTTTACTTACCTTGAAAGCCCTATTAGGGTTGCTGTAAGTCGATTCTGACTTGTTGGCTGATACTTTATTAGAGAGTTGCACAACTTAAGCAAGTTTACAGTGCAGTGCTTCTAGAACTGAAGGATTTGCTAGCTGCACACTGTTGCCCAGAGGATGCCCAAGTGTACTCTCAATGCTTTCCCACTCTTCAGGGACGCTCCTTCTAGTAACTCCAGTTGTGATTTACTATGTACTAGATTTGGGTTGTTAGCACATAATTTTGACCATATTATGTGAGAATTTATTCTCCAAAGGGATCTGCTGAGAGGTCAGATTAGAAATAATGGTCAAAATCCTATTGCATCACTATGTACATGCAACTTTAGGTTGTGACAGCAGTAGTTATGATAGCATTGAGGTGGAAGCATTGTGCAATCAGTCATGCTGAGGACACATGACCTACTGTGCAACTAAATAGTGTAATAGTGCCAGGGGTAACACCTAGCACAGGAATTTGTCCACCTATTGCCAGTTTTATCTTTCCCATGTAATCCAATAGAGTAATTGCAGAAATAATTGTTCAATGATAAGGGCAATGAAAAAATGAGTATTCTGAATGTACCCACTAAATAATACTTAACCGTCATGGAACTGGAGAGGCAGCAAAAGTTACTGTTTTGGATCACAATCCCAGACTCCAAAAGCTTCATGGAATTGTAGTCCAAAAGAGTAACTTTCCCAAGCTCTGGGCGATCTAGCCTTAATATGAATTCTTCTAACTGAAGATAAAGCTATGTACGTATCTTCAGTGACAATCCATTAAACGTACTGAAGGTGAACATTTTAATTTTGGTTGATTTAGTTGCCAAATCTATCCATTTCTTTGAAGAAAAATAATATTGCATCTTCCAAACAACCCTTCTGAAACCATGACTTAAATAGACAAGGGTGTAAAGTTGTTGCTTGTATATCAAGACAGACATGAGAAATTACAGCAATTTCTCCTATGGAGATCGGCTTTACTCTTACCCATCTCTCATTGCTGGAATTTGACCTGGCTTGTCTCTGTTGTAGCTGAGTACAAGCAAAATATTGGTTTAATCCTTCATGCCTGTCTTGTTGCATCCTAATCCTTGAGAATGTTTACAAGGAAACTAACCACTTGGCTAGGAGTAATCAGGAGAAAAAACTGTAATGTGGTTTTTTTTAAGTTTAATTTATATTAATGGTGGCTTTGATATTTATTAAAAAGCACAGAAATTATGAGTACAGTTGTGTCATTCAGTGGTGTCATGTATGAAATCATAGAAAAGCTACGAACTTTGATGTTATCTGGGCTGTGAAGTCAGTGTGCCAGTAACTTGAATTCAGATCATGTCACTTTCCAGGGTAATATCAGGAAAAATCCAAATAAATAAAACAAAGAGATTATATTTTGATGTAAACTTTCAAGGACACATCCACTTTGTCAGACATTAAGGGGCAGAATGAAATGAAATGCATACGAAATATCCGTTTTAGAGTGATTGCATATTTGTGTGTGAATCCTATTAAATAATAACAGTCGCAATACACAAGAAATGCTAGGTATTCCCCGGACAGTATCTTCAAAAGGAGAAGTAGTATGGCCCTTGGTGCTCCCAAGTCAGCTAATTCATTCATTGGCTTTTAAAAATGTGATTGTGACTCCTTTGGTAACAACTCTTTCGGTTAGGTATTAAAATTTTATATATGTGTGTATATTTATGTTCTAACTGTTTTTAGCACATAGTAAATCCTGATTTTAAAAAATTAATTCCATTTTGTATTGTCTATTGTCAATATATATACTGCTATTTACGTCTATAGTTCAAATTACTAGTCCTACTTACATCATCCTACCTAGGAAAGAACTGTTTAATGTTTATATTTTGCAGTGACACTTATCAGATATGAGCTTTATTAGTGACTGTGGTAGAAAGGATCCTGATGATTTCTCAACCTTAGTATGATGTAGTGTTAACTTTTTTAACAACTTTCTCAGCCATAGGTATTATGTTTAACTGTGTGGGTGAGGGCTGGCAAGGGGGAGCTAAATAGTTGAGACAGATGAGGTTTCAGTCTTCTTCACTCTTGTCTCTTTCCATTGCTAGTGGAAGCTGAATAAATTATGCATATATACATGTATTTGCATAATTTAAACAAGTAGCAGTTCATACTTTGCTTAGCCCTGTTTATGGGGATGTTGGAAATAATCCACCCCCATTCGAACTACTGCAGATGTAGCTGCCGCTTCCTCTTGCCTTTGCCAGTGCCCCAAACCTGTCCTCCTAAGGTATTGGTTAGTCTTCTCTTCTCCATATGGGGCTGGTGTCATACCCAACCTAAGGGGGATTTGTACTCCCCCCTTTATCTAATCCCAAAACTGCCATTAACCTCCTCCATGACCATAACTAGATATGAATCTCTTTAGAACTTTTTTTTAAGTCAGTGTACCCAAGTGGTATAAATAGCATAAAGTACGGCTCATGGTGTATGGTAACTCTTCAGTGTTATCTGGCGGCCATCCAGACCCTTAGATATTTATCATCATCTATATATAAAACTGATTTTGCACAGCATTTTAAATTGTATTTTAAAAGTGCTTTTATAGTGGGTCGCACTCTCATGCCACTCCCAAAACCAAATTCCTTTTGACGTCTGCCCTGATTTGCTTCCGAATCTTGTGCAAGCCTTTCAGCAACATTTCTCATGTGAATATTCTTTACTGGTGGAATCTGCCAGGCTCACATCTACCTGACAGTTCCTTTAATAGGCAGATATTTTGAGAATTGGCAAGTGAACCAAAAGCGAGAGGCCTAGGTTCACATCCCGCATCAGCCATGATTGTCTAGCGGCGTTGGTATTTTTGATCAAACTTTTTTTTGCCAAAATATAACACACATACACACTTAAATTATTTAGAGAACACCTAATGCAGGCCCCTCTAATGCTTGCTCGTAGCAGACATTAAGTTCATAATTGCTCCCATAATCCAAACATATCAAGTTCCAGTTGTCCTGCCCTTTTAAACAGTCCTGATCATCGGACTGATCATCTTGTTCCTAAGCAAAAGAAAGTAAAAACACTTTGATTTCAGTAAGACTTTACTATGATAGTGCATTAGTTTCAAAGTGCTTAAATCTGGACAGCTTGGTGGCTCAGGAGTTTGATTAAGGACCCTAAAATCCAAAGTGCCCTTTCAGCTCCCTAACCTTTAAGGATCTATATTATTCCAGGTGGAGAAATGATGAGTACAACCTATTGCCAGTCCAAGGGCCATTATTCTGGAATTACTACATCAGCTAGAGAAGAATGATTGGTATGGATGTGATGGAAAAGCATTATAAAGTGTTTTAAAATCTCGTTTTGAAGATACTTCACGTAAATCTTACAGGTTTCAGTGATTCAGTGTTAAGTTTTGGATAACCTTCTGGAAATGAGTTTACGAAGGGTCCTAAATCGCATTAAAATTAACTCGGCACAAGAGGGCGCGATTGAATGCATGAGCCCAAGATAGGAACAACGGGACTATTGTGTGACCGAACCGTGGAACACAGTCGTAGAATTGGTCTGACTGAAACCAAAGGGCCGATTGTATATAAATGATAGGATGTCCACGTTTCGCTTTTAAGTCTGCTTCCGCCCTCAAAGCCTGTATCTCGTAGACCTGCTTACCTGGGCGTCCGCGCCACGGAGCTCCGTGGGCTTTACGCGAAGCAGACACCCACGGGGATTGCGCCGACTCGCTCGGTTCCCGCGGCAGCCTCTCTCCCGTCCAGCCAAGCCCACCTTCACGCCCGCCCGCTCCGAGCA